TGTAGCCCTGGCTGTCCTGGAACTCACTCTGTAGACCAGGCTGGCCTCGAACTCAGAAATCTACCTGCCTCTGCCTCCCAAGTGCTGGGATTAAAGGTGTGCGCTACCACTGCCAGGCGATGATTGATTTCTTATACCCATTTTTGTCCTCAGCTTCCTAATATTAAGATTTATTAAGAATTGCTGATAAATCGGTATGCATTCTGAGTGTTTAAAATAGATATGACTAATTTTTATATAAAAGTTTAGACTTGTGATTCCTTTAAGATTCTTATAAAATTACTTTTAAAGATAAAAAATAAAATAATTCTATTTATTTTTTTGTATCTGCAAATTGCTTGCCAGTAAGAGAAACTGGCTGAGAAAACTGCCGTGCTTGCTCACACTTTGTTAATCTATAACAAGTTGCTTAGTTATGAATATATATGAGTTCTTGGGGATAATTTGTTTTCTTTACCTGTACTACGTAATGTTATTCCTTGTAAAGGTGTTGGAGAACTCACTGTTTTTTCATAGTCATTCACTAGAAGAAAAATAGAATACAAATACATTGTAATTTCATACTGCTTGAAGGATTTTACTGGGAAAGATACATAAGTATGGAAGAAAGAAAATTGTTGGAACTTTTTTCCAGCTACCTACCAAGCATGTGTGTATATATGTTTATGTGCATATGTATATATGTATATATGTATATATGCATGCATGTGTGAAATGCTTGGAGCCTGTGTGTTGGAACTTTGTTCCAATCTATGTGAGTGTGTGAATTCAGTATGTGAATGTGTATATGTCTGTGTGTCTTTAGGTCTGCATGCATGCATGCACGTACGAATGCATGTATATATTTGTATGTATAAAATTACTGGAGTCTGACTTTTGCTTCAACCATTCTGTGTGTGTATGAATTTTCTCTTTCCTTTTCTTTCTTGATAGCCCCTAAGAGCTGTGCCTCACAAGGAAGGAGGAGTCTTTCCAAAGCCCTCCCAACCCACCTCCCTCCCTCAGCCTAATCCATCACAGCCTCCTCCCTTTGGTACTTTTCTCTAGCGGGGAGGGGGGAGGGAGGCATTTGTGATCCTTTCTCCTTCATTTTTCCCATCAAGCTTTCACTTGCAAAATTGGAGTGTTAATGGGGACACTGAAAACTGGGCCTCAGAGAGATTCTTAAAGAAAAAAACAGAGCCAGCCTCTGCCTACAAATCCTTCAAGAAACATGGAGGGGGATGGGTGGGTAGGAGACCTCTCCTAACATTGGACTCTTTTACCTATTATTGCCTTATAAAAACTTCTGAGACCCTTTCCTTTTTTTGTAAACAAGGGGTGATGCAGATGGTCTCTGCTCCATTTTTCCAAGCTTGGCACCAATCTCTCTCAGTTCCTCACTTTGTTTCACAGAAGTCCCAGGGTCTAGTAACAACACTGTTGTGGTCGTGAGCTCGCGCTGATTAACTTCTGGAGATAATCACTTGCATTTGGGGCTGAGATGCTGAAGGCTGCATTTGGAGTAGCTCCTTGGTGTATCCAGAGTTCAACTAGGGTTGGAAGAGATTTCTGGAAGAAATTAGCCTACTTTACTAGACACCAAAAAGATAAATCGTGCCTATTGGAGGGAGGGAGTGTGAATAGACAAAGGGGCACTGAGAAGAGACTGTGTAAAAGAAGGGAGTCCAGACAGGACCAGGTTCTTACGAGAAGGAAGGGGGTTCTCAGGAAAGATGGGGGTGATGCTACATTTTCTTTTCAACAGGGGATAGAAACTCAGTCAGGTGTGGTGTCACACCACATTCCAGCATTCAAAAGGCAGAGGCAGGTGGATTTCTGTGAGACCAAGGCCAGCCTGGTCTGTCGAGTGAGTTCCAGGAGAGCCAGGGCTACACAGAGAAACACTGGTAAAAGAAAGAAAGAAGAAAGAGAGGGAAAAGGAGGGAGGGGAAGGAGGGAAGGAAAGGAGAGAGAAAGAGAGAGAGAGAGAGAGAGAGAGAGAGAGAGAGAGAGAGAGAGAGAGAGAGAGAGAAACAGGTTTGAGGATTTTAGGGCAGGGATTCTGAATGTGAGCAGGTCTGGTTCTTGTCTGCAGTTCTGTCTCAACCAGACAGAAATGCCAGAAGTATTTGGAGGCTCTAGTTTTCTGGTCTGGTTTCTATTAGTGACTTTCCTGACTGTTGTACCAAAATGCCGGATCAAACCATCTTAAAGAAGAAAGTGTTTATTCTGGCTTATTCCAAGGGAAGTCCATTATGGGCAGAAAGGCATGGTGGCAGGAGCGTCATGTAGCTTAGTCACACTGTGTAGAGTCAGGAGTGCCGAATGCTGGTGCCAAGTTTGCATTCTCCTTTTTATTCAGTACAGGACCTTGCCCAAGGAATGGCACTGCCCATGAAAGATAGGTATTCCCACCTTAATTTACCTCGATCCTCGGGCGTAAGGCTTGTCTCTGAGCTAAGTTTAGATTCTGTCAAGTTGACAGTATTAGCCATCACACAGTTGGATAACATCACTTTACATTTTACTCCCTCCACCCTTTACTTCTCTTCTGCTTTCATTCCCGCATCTCTGAAATTACCTCTAACAAGGTACTAGCGCGTAGGTAACTGTGCTTGTTTTCCAGAGAATTGTGGATAACACAGAGTGTAGAAATGTAGACTTGAAGTAGAAAAATGAAAAACCTTTGCTGCACTGAGGAGAGCCAGGTATCTGTACTAGGTTAGTGGTAGAAGGCTCTGCATCCATCCTGAAGCTGGCCGGACTAGTTTAGAGGGCAAGAGGAAAGGGTGGTTACAGAAGCCTGACTCCAGTCAGTCCCTGGGCCGCAGCAAGTGGTCACAAGTAGACAACTTTAAGGACCTTCTCATAAACATAGATGCCCATACACCAGACAGTGCAAAGACAGCTGAGGGATGAATTATGCGCAGTGTCACTTTATATCAGCAAGTAACCAGTCATTTATGCAAAGAATGTGTGATACAAGATTGTGACCAGCAGGGACTCTCTTTGGGCAGAACTCTGGAGATCTGAGCCTTGTACTACTTTGAGGAGAGTCTCTCAAAGGCCCACATCACATCCCTTAACCCTCACCGAAGTCTGGGGAAGCAGACATCGTCTTCACATTTCATATCAGACACAGGAAGACGTGTGAGGTTACACAGAGTCTGGCTTTGAGCCTCCTTTACTAAAACTCCAGCTGTGTTTTCCAAGACAGCCAAGAAAGGGCTGACATTGTTCACAAGGGATTTGAAACAGTTTTAGTTGATTAGTGACTTTACTTCAGCAATGAATCAAGACACAAGGAGAATGTTTTAAAGGCTGAGGAGAAATTGAACCCCCTCTAAACTTATTATGCCAGGTAAGGCAATCTATGTTTGGATCATACACCCTTAATTATGTAGATTTGCACACATCTTTTTCAGATATGCATAAATTGGGCCAGTGTGTAGAGTGTTATAGAACTAAATGTATTTGTATGTGTTCAACATACTGTATAATTGACTCAATTATCCATGTGGGGATTATTCACTTTTAATTTGCAATCTGGCTTCTCTCAGTCACAGTGTTGTTCGGTTGCTCCAGGAATGCCAACTAATTTAAATAATAATTTAAGTAAAACATAATTAGGAAGGAAAATTAAATTTGATCTTTTGCCAGCTCTTGAACCGTCTTCTATTGAAATGTAACTCTAATCCTTGGGCTGTCTTCATTTTCAATGCCTTTCACCCTTGCAGGACTTGAGTGTAGCGATTATTTCAGTAACTTCCTGTACAGTTTTCCCAATTATTGTTTTCAGTTGGACCATCTTTCTGACTGTAATCTTAAAAATAAACAACTCCCCCTAACATTTAATGGCTACCCATTTATCCACAGGGAAGGGCACAGGGCCAAAGCCTCTCATAGAAGTTGCTTCTAGCATTACTTCCAATCTCTCTTTGACACCCCAGTCAAATCCTTGTACTCCTCAACCTTTGTTCACTCTATCTTCTTTGGGAACACCCTGAAGTCTGCTGACTTGGCTTTCAAATCTTCCAACGCTATGCGCTGCCATGCCCAGTTCTTAACACATTCTATTGTTTTATTTTTCCCCTAAGGCAGATAAAGGTGTTTGTGAAAATGTGTGGTCTCCTTTCTCTCTTGTGAGAAACATCTATACAGTTCTCAGTGGCTTATGTTCCTTCTATGCTATGCTGGACCCCAAAGAGAGTCTCAACGAATACTTGTACATTTTAATTGCTGATAAAAACGTAGAGAGCAGGATTTTTGGTATTTTGTCTGTTCAAATTTCCAGTGCCTGGTTCAACAACAGTAGGAACTCAATGAACCCACTATGTAAGGAATTGGACCATTATGTCCAAGGACAGAACTTTGCTCTGTAGAAAACTCTGGGGATGCAGACACAGGGGGTGGGGGTGGGGGTGTCAATGGCACAGGAGTTGGCAGCAGAATCTTTTCTGACAGGGTATGCTCTTTGGCCCATTTCTCCATCCGCAGACGCCTCGGATTTTGCTTAAATACTCCGCTAAACTTGAAAAAAAAAATGTAAACGCATCATGTGCATGGATGCACAGCCATGTATAAACGTACATAAAATGCACACACACACATGCTTAGTCAGGGATGCAGATATAAAAAAATATATGTACAGCCCCGGTTTGAAAAGGTCCGAGTGGCCGGGCAGTGGTGGTGCACGCCTTTAATCCCAGCACTTGGGAGGCAGAGGCAGGTGGATTTCTGAGTTCGAGGCCAGCCTGGTCTACAGAGTGAGTTCCAGGACAGCCAGGGCTATACAGAGAAACCCTGTCTCGAAAAAACAAAAAACCAAAACAAACAAACAAACAAAAGAAAAGGTCAGAGTGGTAGAAAGGAGCATCATGACCTCTCTCTCCCTTTCGGGACCACGCACAAGCCTTCTGAAATCAAGCCCACAGTAGCCTGTCGCAAACCTGCCTGATGGCAAGACTTGGCCCTTCCGGGTTTCCGTCAGGCGCGCCGTGATTGGCTGGACTGAGCACAGCTGACTGACGCGCGGGCGAGAGACCTTCAAGGATGGCGGCGTCAGCGGCGCTGATCCTGCCGGAGAGCCCCAGGTAGCGGTCAGGCTGAGCAACCAGCCACACAGGGATGACCTGTTGGGGCGGGAGCAGGGGTGTTGCCGCCTCCTGCTGTTGTGGTGCGGCCGGCCCGGGTCGGGAGCCGGAGTGGAGCTGCGGAGGGACTTTTTGGGCCGCAGAGGGCGTGGGCGGGTGTGGGCGTGGCACAGAGGAGGGCGTGGGCGGGTCGTGGAAGGGAGTGGGTGTGGCGTGTGGCGTGGGCGGGGGCGTGCTTCCACTCTTGAGTGGTTCTTCTTGGAGCTTGCAGGGCTGGCCGCCCCTCTTCAGTACCGGAGATAGTGACGAGTGACTTTGTAGCGCAGGTAGTAGAAGTTGCTAGACGCCACCTGAATTCTGTCCACTCTCTTGGGAAAAGACTTTCTGCTTTTAGTTATTTCAGACCTGAGAAAGCCTCACGCTGGTACTACAGGGTGATTAAAAACTAGCACGTGAAAATAGCCCTTTGCAACCAACGTCTGATAGTTCAGGCATTAGTGACTTATTTAGCCAGTTTTGGCATATTCAGTATATGCACAGTTATGCTTACCACACACTTTGAAAATGGTTATTACAAGTGACAGGTTTTAAATGCCTTTGATAGTGTTGCCGTTCATGTACTTTTTATTGTTTAGGGTGTATTAGGTAAGATTGGCTGGGTCTGGTAATGTAAAGCCCAGTTTTAAAGTTTTTTTTGTGTGTCTGTGGTGGGGGGCAGGGGGTAGAGTGGTTCTTACTATGTTGCCTAGGCTAGCCTCAAACTTTTGGACCCAAGATCCCCTTACTCTCCCAATGAGCTGGCACTATTGGCTGTCCTGACACACTCTGCTCAGATTTCCCCATTACAACAAAATTATTCCAGAAAAAAAACAAAAACAAAAACCCGACTCAGTCTGTAGAGGCAGAGGAAATATTCATGTATGCAGGCAAATCTTGAAATTTGAATGCAACATTCCTGCACTGGGGAGAAGACAGTCGGTATTGTAAAGTTTTTCCTTCTTTCCCTGGATCTGACACTTCTTATCTTCAAGCCCATGTCCTTGGAGAATGCACACCACAAAGGCATACTCAGTATATGCAGTTATGCTTACCACACAGTTTGAAATTGGTTATTCCAAGTGACACAGGTTTTCAAATAACTGTGCATTCCAAATAATTATGTAGTCCCACCTTCCCTCAGGGATACTTGTCATCATTATCCTTTGTGGTTTTGGTGTAGTGCTCTCATTGGCTGCTTTCTTCCTTGCAGAGCTCTATTTTGGATTACATGGTAGCTTGAATGCCCACTGCTAAACCACTGCCGTTCCCTGACTGGCTGGGTACATACCTCTGCAAGTAATTTGCCTGGGAAGAGAAAACTTGTCAGATGTACTTCTTAACAGGAGTGCTTTGGGAGAGGTATCCTTGGGAGGTGCTCACTGATTGCCAGAGTGTCCTTCATGTCACTTTATCTCACTAAAAGGACATAGCTACCAGAGGAGTTGAAATAAAAAAATGTACAGACAGCAATGGCAAATACACTTAAAACTCACTTCGAAACTTTGTTTACACATTTAGCATGAAGAAAGCTGTGCCGCTGATAAATTCGATAGACACGGGAAGATTCCCACGACTTCTCAGCCGCATTCTTCAAAAGCTCCACCTGAAGGTTTGCATTTCTGTATTCCTGTGGCTTGTGACTCCTCTGATTCCCTGAAGCATGCTAGTATGTGGAGAATTGTGAGAAATATTGTTCTCTAGTGGGTTCTTGGGAACTCTAGATCTGTGGAAGTTTGATCATGTTCTCTGGTCAGAAGTTTGGGAGACTTTGTATTCTGTAATTAACTAAGAAAAAAAGTAGAGCCTTGTAGAATGTTTTGCATGCTAATGTTTGGGTCATACATTGAAGGGTTTGACTTGGGAATTGTTTTCCCTTGGTATATAAAGTTCTATGGAACATGCTTTAGGGAAATGCTGGTTTCATTCTTCCTGGTAATGGTAGTTCAGGCTAAAGAGATGGCTGAAGAGCATATACCGAAGCCAGGCAGTTCTGGTACACACCTTTAATTTCAGCACTTGGGAGGCAGAGGCAGGTGGATCTCAGAGCTTGAGGCCTGCCTGGTCTAGGACAGCCAGGGCTACACAGAGAAACCCTGTCATGAACCCTCATTCTTCCCTGCCAAAAAAAGAGCACATACTAGTCTTGTATCGGGCTTGTATTTGGTTCCCAGCATCCACTTAGTGGCTCATAACCACCTGTAACTCCAGTTCCAGGGATCTGAGGCTTTCTTCCGGCTTTCTTGGGTTCTTGTATGCATATGGTACATATAAACTTAAGCAGGCACACATGCATACATATGTAAATAATCAATAAATCTTAAAAATAATTCAGTCAGTATTTCTTCTCAGATAGTATCTTTTCCTCTTTGCTTTTATTTCAAGTGTATTGTTGGTTTGGCTGTGTGGACGATTGGTAACTAATTCATTATTTGATAACCAGTTTAACTTGATGTTCTTTATTGGGTTATAAAACTGCATTGACCATGGTTATGGAGCACATACAAAATGTTCTACGTGTTTCTAGGCACAAATATTCAGTTATATCCAAGACCCTCCCCTTCCCTTACTTTACTGGCTAGGACAGCCCCAGACCCATGGTCTACTCCCCGTGAATTATCTCTCAGCTCCAAATTGTCCACGTCATTTTATTTCAGATCCTTCTTGTTTCTTGGCTTTGGACTAGCATCTGTTGCTCACCATCTTTTCGGGTTTGATTTTTTTTTTTTTACATTTATGTATTTCTATTTTTTTTAAAAAAATGTGTATGAGTGTTTTGTTGCATGTATGTATGTGTACCACATGTTTTCTTGGTGCCCATGGAGGCCAGAAGAGTGCACTGAATCCCCTGAAGCTAGAGTTAGAGGTGGTTGTGAACCTCCTTATGGGTTGCTGGGAACAGAATATGTCTTTCCCAAGAGTAGCAAGCACTCTTTTCACCAAGCTGTCTTTCCAGCCCCTGATTGATTCTTTTTTTTTTTTTTTTTGGTTTTTTTCGAGACAGGGTTTCTCTGTGTAGCCCTGGTTGTCCTGGAACTCACTCTGTAGACCACGCTGGCCTCGAACTCAGAAATCCGCCTGTCTCTGCCTCCCAAGTGCTGGGATTAAAGGCGTCTACCACCACTGCATGGCTACAGTAAAGTTTTAAAATGTTTTTCTCTTTTTAAAATGTTGATCATGTTTTAACAGCATTTAGAGACATCAGTGTCTATCCCTTACCACATGGAGAAAACTTCAGAATCCTTAACACTGCGAGATCCATTAGACTGTGGCAGCGGCCCCCAGTCTCCCTCCTCTGCACTTGCAGTCTCACTGGACAGGGCGTGTTTACCGCACTGTGCTAGGGCCTTTTCAACTGTGTTGTGCTTGTGTTCTTGTCCTTGCTTCCAGTGCTTTTGTCTCCAGCTTTACTGAGAGAATATCACCGTGTAGTAAGAATGTTGTGGTCCCACTCTCAAGCTCAGGGTGATTCTCTTCTCTGTGTCTCAGAACATTTGGTTGGTTCTCAGCTCACTTTAGCACTGCACTGGAAGCACTTATTTCACAATCAGAAGATGACCAAATCCCTGAACTCTGAGACCCATGCCTTTCTCATCTGTGGAGTTCCCTTCCCTGATACATTGCTCAGTATACACTTGGTACTCAGTGCACACTTTTGGAGTTAGTTCTTTTCTTTTACATGAAAAATGCAAAATGACCTAGGACCAAGTTCCTGCCTATGGTAAATTTGTGACGTAGATTATGAGTCAGGAGGAATAACAGTACTAGGAACAGTCTGTGACATGTCTCATCTTGCAAGTCAGCAGTCTGCATTGGGAAAAACTGAAGGAAGTCACACAAACTTCTGTCGCTGAGAACTTAGAAACATGTTTGTGGCTTCTGATCTTCAAAAAGTGGTTACAACTCATCTAATGAAGAACCTTTTGTGTTTGACCCCATAGGAGAAATTTTAGGCCCCCACGTGAAACCTGCTGATGTAACCTGTGAAGCTGTGGGCTTCACTCTGTAGAGCCAGCTGTCTGGGTTATTGACCAGGCACGTGAGAAAGAGCAAGACAGACTAGTGGAGGTCAGGTGGGCAGTGTCGGTGCAGCTGTGATGGGGTGAGTAGGCAGTTTCAAGAAGTGACTGCTAATTATGAGATGAAATGAGGAATTAAGAAAACCAGATGTAAGAAAGATAAAGCACAGGTGTCTGAGATGGTCTGAAATTAAAGCAAAAAGCCTGTCATTCTTGTCAGCCCAGAGTTCCAGTGATCAGTCACGTCAGCCTCAGAGGTCTATCTCGTGCCTCTCAGTTGTCTAGAATGCACATCAGAATGTAGAGTATAAGCACACCAGTTTCCGTTCACGGTGGCCTTTTCTCTCAAGTTCTCTTTTCCTCTATGAGGAAGTGAGTCTTCCGAGTGTGTGCTCTGTGCTGACTGAGTACTGTGTTTGTAGGCCGAGAGCAGTTTCAGTGAAGAAGAAGAAGAAAAACTTCAGGCTGCATTCTCTCTAGAGAAACAAGAGCTTCACCTGGTTCTGGAGACAATATCATTTGTTTTGGAACAGGTATTTTTATTGCCTCAAATTTCCTGTTTACTGCATATTTTCATGACTTTAATATCTGTGGCTTTCTATGTATTTGTATAGCTATATAAGATTGATATTTTAATCAAGAGTTTCAATATACTGAAACATTTTAGAATGCCTGGCTCCTTTCCATAGAACTTCATTCTGCAAAAATAAATATGATATAGTAGAAGTTAAAGATTTTCCACTGAATTGGGCCTTCATCTGTTTTTAACTCACTGTTTTTTGGCATAAATGGAAAAGTGAACGTTTTCCATTTAAGTTGAGCAGGTGATTGGGTGGCATGCACTTGATTAGGATGATTCAGAAAAGAAATGGCATCATTTTTTTTTTTATTTTGAATTTCCTTTCTATACCATTTCTTCTCACATTCATTCCATGATTTTTATACCCGTAAGTCCTGCCACTGCAGCCCACATTGCTTAGTCCTTCAGCCTTCTCTTCAGCCTTTTTGCATTTTTTGATCTTTACAGTAGGGCACATGGGTAGTCTTTGAGTATTTCACACATATCAGCTTGTTTCTATCACTAGGCTTTAAATGTATTGTGGGCCAGGATCTTATATTTTGCACCTCTTTTATAACCTTAGCTTAAGATGGAGTTTTAGTACAATCCTATCAGTTTAATCAGTTTATTAAACAGGATACTCATGAAACAAAAGATTCAGTTATACTGCAGTTTCATGGGCATTTTAGAGAACAGACACTATTAGGAGAAGCTGCCAGGCAGCTGCTGCCACCTTATGGAGACTATGGATGGAATTTGTTACCACGAGAAATTACCTGAAGGAACAGTGTTAGGAAGGATTTATTTTGGCTTACAGTTTGATTCCAGGGAGGAGGGATGAGAAGATGTGGGAGCAGCTCCTGTCCGTGATGCAGGAGTGTAGGCCATACCACTTATATTTCTGCAGATCAGGAAGTGCAGAGCTTGCCCTGCAGTTGAGCTGGGCTCGAATGAATGTGGCCTGCTCTCCAGTGACCCAGCAAGGACCCACTTCTAAAGGTTCCACAGCCTCTCCAAACAGCCACCAGCTAGGACTAAGCCTTTAAACACACTAGCCTATCAGGGAACCCTTCACACTGAAACCATATCATTCCACCCTTTGCCTCCACACTCTCTTTGCATCTCATAATGAAATAAGAATTCAGTCTCAATTCAAGCATCCCCATAGCCTTAAGTTCTAACACTTTTCAAAGGTCCAAAGACCAAATCCCTTCTGAAATTCAGAGCAGTCTTTTAGCTATGAGCCCTTGTAAAACAAACAAACAAACAAACAAACAAACACACACACACCAAGTCACATGTTTTTAATGTACAGAGTAAGTATTCCCATTTTAAAAGGTGACCTGGCATGGAAAGACCAGCATATGTCAGGGAAATGCCAAGTCCTGCAGTTTTGTGCCTAGCATCTGGAGCTAATGTGGCATGATGTGGGTCCCAATGGGCTTGGGCAGCCCTGTGGCACAATGGGCCTCTGTCTTGGCCTGGCTTCACTTGGTGCCTGCAGCTTTTCTCCATGGGTGCCACGAATTTCTAGTATTAAAATGCTGCTGTCTCTATTGCACCTTTGGGTTCATCTTTGCAACTTCATGAACAGCCCAGTCACACACTCCATTCAGGGAATCTCACTGATACACACTGTCTGACCTCATTAGTTTTCTGGAACCTGGAAGTCTCCATAATGCTCTAAGTCCTGCATTCTGCATAGCTGCAGAACCAGCACTGTGTGGATGCTGCTCTCAGTTTCTGCTGCAAGACTGAGATGTAGCTGAGCATCCATTTATCGCAGCTGCAGCATCGGTTGTGTGGGAGAACAGTAACCCAGGCAACCATTTTACAGCTGCTAGCCCTGGAACTGTCTGTGTAGGCACTGTGTGTTTTTCTCTTCCTTCAGATGAATGGCTTTCAGTTTTATGCCATAGAGCCTTCAGTGGGTAGCATCTTGTTCCCAGTGCTTCTTCATTCCTATTGTCCCAATTTGAAGTGTAGAGTGCCAGGTTTTTCTTAATCTCATTATTATCTTTAGCAATCAGTGCATCTGTGTTTGTGTCCACTGTGCCTGCCCTGCCTTTAATTCTGTGTTCCAGCTTCTTTCTTTTCATTTTACCTTACAAAACCTGGTTAAAGGCAGTGAGCAGTAACCATGCCACAGACTTGTACTGCCTTGAAATTTCCTCTACCAAATATATTATCCATTATTTTTTATGTTTATGGGTATTTTGTCTGTGTATGTCTATGCAACTTGTGTGTGTCTGGTGTCCTCAGAGTCCAGAAAAGGGTGTGGAGCTAGTTACAGACATTGTGAGCTGCCATGTGGGTGCTGGGAACTGACTCTAGGTTCTCTGGAAGAACAGCCAGTGCTCTTGAACTGCTGAGCCCTCTCTTCAGCTCCCAGTCCATTATTTTCAATTTAGCATCACTCAGAATTGCAGGACACATGTAGAATGTAGTCACACAGTTTGGCAGAATGTCACATGAACGACTTTTAGTTCCATTTCTGAGAGTCCTTATTCCTCTCTGAAACCTGTTGAGCGTTACTTTCCTGTCAGCATTTCTATCAGAATCAGCATCATGTTCTCCCTAGAGCATTCTGGATCTTTTCTAGCCCGTGGCTTCAAATTCTTTCACTTATATTCCTCTCATATGCTAACTACAAAGGCCTATAATCCCCCTGGTCAGGTTTACACAGTAATAGCCACAATCCATATACCATTTTTCTCCGTTATTTGTTGTTACTGTGACCAAATGCATGGGCCACAGTAGGAAAGGTTTATTTTGGGGTTTTAGGGGTACGATCCACTTTAGAAAGCATGGAGGTGTGAGTGGCTTGTGATTGGGGCAATGGGAACATGAAACCCCTGGTTATATTGCATCAACAGTTAGGAAGCAGAGAGCTCAGGCCTAATTAGGGCCAGGCTGTAACCCATAATTCTCATCTCTAGCTAGGCCCCATGTTAAAAGCTTGTACATCTTCCAACTGAGTGCTGTCAGCTAGGACTAAGTGCTCAGGCTCACGAACCTGAAGGATACTTCATACTCAGACTTGAATGTGGAGCTTAGTGACGGCTGGTGCTTAAGCTCAGTGAGCCTTCAGTAATAAAACGGTAGTTGAACAGAACAGCACAGAGGTTTGTGGGAAAGTTGTTCTCAATTGTGTAGGGAACAGAACAGATGTTGTTAAAATTATTTAAAATTTTTTATTATGTGTAACTTCAGTTGGTAGACAGATAGTTTTGAGGACTTCTTAGGCAAAGTTTATTTGCTGAGACCATTGTAAACTTTAATTAAATGAAATAAATGGAGTAAAGCTTTACTAAGTAGTTTTGGTGTTATGTAAACCACTGGCAAAATGAAACATTTAGCCTGAGCAAGTTAGGCCTACTGACTATGAAATTTAGCTGTTGGTTTTATATATTAATAGAACTGTTGAAAATGCCTGTAAGAGTTCTGTGAAGACTTTTTGATTTAAATAGTTTTAATGCTGAGGCTGGAGATATAGATAGCTCAGCAGTTAGGAGCACTTACTGCTCTTGCGGAGAACTGAAATTCAGCTTCCAGCATCTGCTTCAGACTGCTTTAAAAGCTCCGTAATGCCAGCATCAGGAACTCAATGCCTCTGGCCCAGGACTTACACTCATGCAGTCTTATTCACAAGCAGACAGACAGACATACAGACACAGACACAGACACAGACACACACACACACACACACACACACACACACACACACAGAGTACTTAATTTGCTTTAAATACGTATGCATTGCTTACAGTCAAGTCTTTATGTGAACCTGAGGATGTGTTGTCTTCCCTGTTTCTGGCAGGCAGTGTATCACAACGTGAAGCCAGCGGCACTGCAGCAGCAACTAGAGACTATTCATCTTACACAAGACAAAGCAGAAGCATTTGCCAGTGCTTGGTCGGCTATGGGTCAAGAAACGGTTGAGAAGTTCAGACAGAGGATCCTGGGCCCTCACAAGGTACAGGACATGCTGTCCCAAACATATTTCTCAAAAATTATAGCACCCAGTCTTAAAAAATGATCAAATTTTTGTTAAGAGGTAAAGTAAGGAAAAGTCAAGTTGAATATTCCTGTTCAGTCTTTTCTACATATTAGCATATTTGTTACCACAACATGGTTTAATTTTGACAGTTTAAAATATGCCTCTGTAATTAAGAGTAGGAATGAGACAGTATCCTTATGCCCTCTAGCAGTGGTCTCTTGGTGCTTCCGAGTGAGACTTACTGTTAATGCGTACTGAGTCATTCTTGCTTGGTTTTACTGATACATTCCTGCCTAGCAGAGGCCCTTGCTCCTTGGGTGCTGACTTACCATGTGTCAGCTCCCATAAAACAAGCGCCGGCAGAGCAGTAAAGTCAGTGTCACAAGGTGCTCTGCTCACCAGGCCTCACAGAGCAGGCATGGTGGGGCAGACTGTGTCTTTCCCTACACATTCTCTGTATTGCTTTGATCTTCTGATGTGCAAACAGTTTTGTGTTCCTGGGATGAATTGTCTGAGTCATCCTTTCAATATGCTGCTGGTTTGATTTGCTGATATTTGGGCAAAGGTTATGTCCACCTATTTATGGTACATATGGTACATCTGAGGTGAGCTGGGAGCTGCCCCTTTGCCTCCTGAAGCATCAGCATTGTTTAGTGGTAGCAGGTTCAGCACTTACAGACTTTGTAGCACTTAGTATTGCCAGGTTTGGTTTTTTTTTTTTTAATTAAACTAAAGCTGTTGCATTAGGTTTGTGGTGCTATTTTGTGTCTTTCCCCCAGTACACAGTTTTTATGTCATTTTTATGTACTTGTGCATATGTATCCTGTGTCTGGATATTTTGCTTACTACATACTAGAGAAAACAGAGATACAGCTTTCATTGTATTCCAGGTGTAGATCTTATAGAATTTTTTTTTTCAGTTGTAGTGTATAGAGGGTACTTGCTTGCCTTCCCTTAGGTTGGAATTGAAGTTCCAGTTCGCTATGTAATGCTCCGTGCAGTCTGTGATTGGACAGTGTTTCTGCTGGCCTGTAGCTGTCTTTCTTTATATCCTTTGGTCTGTTCGTGATCCCATGCTTAGTTTTATGCCTAAGAGTTTATAGACAGATGCGTATTACGATGGTTTCTCTTTTGTTCCTCCTCAGTGTTTTATACAGTGTTGACGTTCACCTGTAAGTCTGAGATCCATTTTGAATGATGTTTTTGTAAGGTGTGTGGTGCAGGCTGAGGTCCATGTTTTTCTGTTCTTTGTACCCTGAGTGCCAGTGTTGTCACTATAGTTATTATGGACATTTATCCTTTCGTCTCCACATTGCCCCTACCCTCTTGTCAAAAATCATTTCATGTATTGTCTAAGTCTTTTAGTGAATTCTGTGACTCTTTGATCTATTTGTCTATCCTAGGATTCCTCTGCCTTAATTGCTGAAGCTTTGTAGTAAATAAGAAGGCCAGGCGTGGTTCAAGCCTTTAATCACAAGACTCAGGATGCAGAGGCAGTCGGTCTCTGTGAATTTGAGGCTAGCCTGATCTACATATCTACATAGTGAGTTCCAGGATAGTCAGGTCTACATAGAGAGTGATCTGCACACACGCACACACGCACACACACACACACAACTAGTGTGAGTGGAGTGGAGTTGGGGAGATTGCTTACAGTAAAGAGTGCTTGCTGCTGTTATAATGGACCTAGGTTCTATTTTTCAGTAGCCATGCCAGGTGGCTCACAGAAGCCTTTAACTTCAGCTCCCTGGGATGGCATTCCTCTGCTGGCCTCTCTAGGACCCAACACGCATGTAGGCACTCATGTGTACGTGTACACACACACACATACACACACACGCACACAATCAGAAATTAGTCTGAGCTCGATGGCTTTATTCTCATTTTCATATTCTCTTTGGGTTTTCTAATTTCTTACATTTACATATACATTTGGAAAATTGACTCAGTATCTACAAGTAGTCCTGCTGGCATATTGATTAAAATCGTGTTTGATTTAATGATGAATCGGCGGAGAAATAAATTCTTAACAGTGTGATATAAATTTCTCCACTTCTTAATCTCTTTTTTGATTTCTTTTGGTAGCGTTCTTTATTTTTATCACAAAGCCTGCGCATATTTTGTTATTTTACAGCTAAGTGTTTTATTCTGTTTTTAAAAATGTTATAAATATGCTATTTTTAAAACATTGGCTCCAATTGTTTATTATTAGATACTAGAAATAGTACAATTAACTCTCAGAAATGCTGTTTCGTGATAATGGAGTTTGAACCCAAGGCCTGGTGAGTGTGAGCAGGCTCTCCACGACATGACTCCTATGTACAATGACCTGTCCTATGGTTTTGGTAATTCACTAGTTAGGGATAGGAACTTCTTAAAAATAGATTTCTTTAAATTATTTTCAAATATATTTTGTATAATTATTTTTGCATAGCCGTTTTCAGTATTGGCGAGTAGAGACTTTTCCCCACAATCTACACAGCTCCCACTTTTTTGTGTTTATGTGATCCATATGCACACTTAGGTGTGTGCATGTGTGTGTGAATGTCAGAGGTCATGTTGGGTGTTTCCCTCAGTCCTTCCCTACCCCCAGCCCTGACCCTGACACTCACCTTATGTTTGGGACCGAGTCTCTCTGTAGGACCTGGAACTCACTGATTCAAGTAGACTGGGATGGCCAGGGAGACTCTTGTGCCTGCCTGACTCTGTCATGCTACTGTGGCAGTTATAGATGTACCAGTGTCTCTATGGATGCCGAGCATCTGCATTCGGGTCTTCATGCCTGCTTAGCAATCCCTGTACTGACTCAGCCATCTTCCCAGTCCCCCTTTGCCGTATTTTCTTGTCTTCTTGATTGACGTGTTCCCAGTTTGGGGAGAAAACACTGTCTCTCACTAAGTATTACCCCCCAGTGTCTAGCAAATGTTCTCTGTTGTTTCTGTCTGAGTTCCCCTCTGTGTCTGGCCATCCTTCCATCCTGAGTTTCTGCCTGGGTCTTCATCCTTTCCATTTCTTTGTTTCCCTCCCTCCTGTGAATATTTCAGTCTTCCATTTTGTTTCTCTGAACTTCTTTCTTCTTTTAAACATCTCCATTTGGAAAATCTCCATATTATTCTAGTTTTGCGTGTGATTTCCTTCCGTGCTGCAGTGTCTGCTTCTGCAGTGGCCAGTACTGGTCTGTGCTGTCGCCTGTATGAGGCTCTAGCTGGGAGGTAGTTCTCAGTGTCCCTGAGCAGCTTGCCTTCAGAAAGAGTATTCTTTTCTCCTCAGGGTAGCAATAAGTCAGATGCTGTTTAAGAGTCAAAATAACCAGTTGTCATAGGAAATATGTAAAATAGAAAATAGAAATTTGAGGGCTGGGTATTGTGACGTGTGTTATCCCAGCAGCTTGGGAGTCTGAGGCAGGATGGTCACTAGTTGAGGACATCTAGGACATAGAAGTAATGTAGTAAAACTGGCTCTGAGAGAGTAAAGTTGGGAAGCCTGGAAGAAACTGGGAAGAGTTGATTGTGTTTTGCCAATGTGTGTGTATATGTACCATGTGTGTGCCTGGTGTCAGCAGAGGCTAGACGAGGGTGTTGGGTCTCCTGGAACATGAGTTACAGTTGGTTTTGAGCCTTCATGTGGGTCAGGAGTACTGAAACACTGAGCCTTCTCTCCGCAGTTCCCAAATTATCTTTTTAACGATTGAATATTATTCCACTGTGATTCTATAGCCATGCTGCCTTACTCATTCATCCGATGGGAGACACTTGGGTTGTTAGTGTGTCTTGGCATTGTGAATAGATGCAGTGGGCATGGGCATGCATGTGTCTTCAAGTTCTTTTGGATATTTACTCTGCCGGGATCCCTGGCTCATATGGCAGTTCTATTTTCAAGTCTTTTGCCTGAACTAAATTTGTCTTTGACAGTTTCGTATGTGTATATAATGCATAGTGACCACTCTTGGTCACATCTTCCCTTGTTCCCCCTTGCCCTCAGATACGCCTGCCTCCTACAGAGCTGTCCTTACGTACATACCTATTCATTTTGCTTTATGCTGGTGAGTTTTCACCAGAGCTGTCTGTGTGACCATGGGTTTGGGTCTCTCCTCTGTAGGTTGGTGGGTTCAGTAGTGGCTATACAGCTGATAACAATGATTCCAGCTCCCAGAATGCATCGGTGGCAGTTTTCACTGTTTTGAGGCACACCCCTGCTGTTTTCAGTAATGAATGTACCAGTTTATATTTGTAGTGTCAGTGTGAAGGGTCCCTTCTGTCTATACTCTTGTCAGCTCTTGTCTTGTCTTTTTAATTTTAAATTTTTATTTATTTATTTTATATGTATGGGTGTTTTCCCTGAATGTATGTCTATGTACTAATTGTGTGCCTGGAACCCACAGGAGTCCAGAAAGGGTGTCAGCTCTCCTTTGACTGGAGTTAGAGATGGTTTGTGGGTGATCGGAATCTAACTGAGGTCCTGTGGAAGAACAGCTAGGCCTCCTAACCACTGAGCTGTGTTTCCTGCTCCTCCTGTTGTCTTCTTGATAACAGCTGTGGTGGTTTGAATAGGTTTGGCCCCATAGTCTCATGTGTTTGAATGCTTGGACCATAGGGAATGGCACTATTTGAAGGTGTGGCCTTGTTGGAGGAAGTGTGTCACTGTGGGGGTGAGCTTTGAGGTCTCATGCTTAAGCTCTACCCAGTATAGAATTCTAGTCTCCTGGCTGTCTGCAGAAGACAGTCTCAGTTTCCTCTTGGCTGTCTTCTGATCGGATGCAGAACTCTTGGTTTTTCCAGCACCATGATCATAATGGACCAAACCTCTGGAACTGTCAACCAGCCCCAAATAAATGCTGTCCTTTATAAGAGTTGCCTTGGTCATGGCATCTCTTCACAGCAATGAAGCCCTCACTAAGACAACAGCTTAGTAACATGTTGAGGTGACAGTCCTCTCGGGCTTTGTTTGGCATATTCCTGGTGTGTGACACCGAACAC